ATTTAAAAAAATTAAAGTAGTGTAAGTACTGCTCTGGAAGTGTAAATATTACACTGTAAAAAATGTTTAATTCAATGTGTTGCTTGCTGTTTCTTTGTGAAATTTACTAGAAATTTCTAAATGAAAATTGTTTCTACATCAGGGTTATTATCGTTAACAAAAAATAAAAAAGACCTAATAAAACCTAAAAAATGGTGGACATATAATGTTTATTTAAAAAACAAACTTTTTTTCCACTAAATACTAAAATGTTAAATAAAATAACAAAAATAACAATAAAATCAATATATATATATAATAAAGATCAATAACAGGGGTTTACAACTTTTCCAGGCCAAAAAACAAACAAACTTGCAGACAGAGAGATAAAGCATGGACCCCTTCATATGTATATGTATTCATATGTATTCATTACATACATATAAAAGCATTGCATTTAAAGTGTGCAAAGTATATGAATATTTTTACATACTTTATGATGCTTACATTGCAACACCACTAAAATAATAATTTTCCTACAAGTCATATATATACAAGTCATTATTTATTTTGGATTCATCATTATTTTCCTTTTTTTCCCTTTACAAATAGTCTGAGATCAAACAAACAACCCTGCAGTAATGTCACAGACCCTGCATTAGAATACATTATGAAGCATTAGCACTGATTGAGGTCAATATGATAAGCATTTTATACATATGGAATGACATTACACAGGTATGTTAATTGCCATGGATCAATAGTGAAGTCAGTTTTTAAATGGAAAGTTGGAAAGTAAAGTAACTGTAGAATAAACAGTTCAGTATGTTTCAATGTTCAACAAAGCTAGCCCAGCTTGGACTTCATTGAAGAAAGTTGTTTAAGTCACACCAAGTGTTCACTGATATAGCCTGTCAGTGCTGAGAGATCCTCAAGCTTTTCATGTGCAGATAACACATGTCCCACAGTGATGAGACGAAGCACGAAATGAAACCGAGCTGGAATGGCATCAAGAAACAGGGAAGGAAAAATGCCTGAGACAATTTTACCAAATGAAACTGATAAGGAGATGCAAATGTAGAACAAAGGATTATGGGCCACAAGAGAGAGCTGGATTCCAGCAGAGAGCGCTACTTTGCTACATGAAAGCGTGCTGGAGACACTGAGGAGGCTGTGCGGGGTTGGGTACCTCCAACCTCTGGCTGTGTTTGGAATACTAGCTTACTACCTACTGTGCAATATATACTGTAAAAAAGGCAGGCATTCCATGAAACATTATTATACTTTATTATCAAATGACCTGCTCGTGTTCTAAATGAATGGCTTCTAGTTATCAACTTAAATGCATTAAAAAATCTAATTTTCTGCAACAATGATTTAAATTCTATTTAACTTCTGATCAAATAATGAGTCAAAATAGGGATTACAGCAGTAATGAACTAACTCAGCATGCTCACTACATACTGAAGAAATAATAGGAGCAAAGTTAGTATGCTATTAAAACAGCTATTGTCCTTTTGTGGATTCAGAGTTTGCCAAGTAAATCTGAAATATCTAGAAATATATGATAACAAAACTTAAAAATGCTAATAAACATGTATGTTCTAATAATGTTTTGCTAATGTTTCCATTATGAAAATGTTTTTTTCTTGGCTATATATGAATGCTAAGGGAACATTCAATTGCATCATTCCAGAAACATTATGGGAACATACTTTTAAAGGGGTCCTATTATGCTTTTTCAACTTTAGTTAATCTGTAATGTTGCGGTTTGAGCATAAAAAAGATCTGCAAAGTTACAAAGCTCAAAGTCCAATTCAAAAGGAGATATTTTATTTAACAGAAATAAATTTTCAAAAACTACAACGAACGACTTGTTTGGACTACAACGCACATTTTCCGGGATTTGTGATATCACAAATATCGACGAATGGGACGAGACCTGGTTCAGCTGCATTAGAGAAGGCAACGAGTGTTATCATCACTATGTCGGAGACACGCTAGCTTTCCCAAGGCAGACGAACTTAGAGTGGTTACAATCATCCGGGTTCAAATCGCGCTCAAATTGATTTGATTTCGATGCAATATTTACACTGAAGCTCGCAGGCGGCTATGGTAAGGGGCAAGACATTTCCCGATCAGGCGCCGAGTGGTGACAATCACAACACACACTGGCCCAGCTAACCAATCACAGCACACACTGGCCCAGCTAACCAATTACAGCACACACTGGCCCAGCTAACCAATCACAGCACATTTTGGATTTCAGAAGGCGGGCCTTCATTTGATACAGGAACTATTCGAGCCGTTCATGCCAGACTGGGAGAGAGGTGTTGTAATCATTTAAAATATGTGAAAAATAATGTTTTTCGAACAACCTAGTATGAGAGCCTGTTCTAGTACACCCCCAAAACAAAATCAAGACTTTGTAAAAGAGCATAATATAGGACCCCTTTAAATGTTTCCAGAACATTCTGAAACAAGTAATAACAGTAACACTTTAGTACAGGGACCAATTCTCACTATTAAATAGTTGTTTATTAGCATAATAACATATTGGCTGTTTATTAGCACTTACAAAGCACATATTCTGCATGACTATATTCTACATCCCTAATAATCCTACCCAATACCGAAACTTAACAACTGCATTACTAACTATGAATAATCAGCAAATTAGTAGTTTTTTGAGGCAAAAGTTGTAGTTAATGGTTTGTTAATAGTGAGAATTGGACTTTAAAATAAATTGTGACTGTCATAACATTTAAAAACAGCCATCTAATACATTTTAAAAGAAAAAACATTGCATAAACGATGTATAAATAACATTTTTGTGTTAACATTTTGAGAACGTTTTTAAAGACCAGATAATTTTTAATGAACATTCTGTTAATGTTACCAGAAGAACTTTGTTTGTAACACTGCCACAGTTTTAGCCAAAGTTCTAAGAATGTTCCCTGTTGGCTGAAAAATTTAACAACCGTTTCTTTCTCAGATGTATATGATCACTATAGAAGTCTGGTCACATATAAACAAAACCTTGCTCCTCTGCGGAAACTGTAGAGCAGCCAGCCAATCAGATTAGAACTTTTCAAATGTATTTTTCAAATTGAATTTAGTGTGAAATTTGCAGATGGTCTGTGCATGGGCTGTGGGTGGTCTGTGGACGTGCTGGCTGATGCTGAGGCTGGGAGTCTTCTCACCATGCATTAAGTGTTCCAAGTCGAAAAGTCAGATGAACAGCATCTGCGAAATGGCAGGTGTTGAGTTTATGCTAATTGACTATCTTTCAAATATTCTTTAAAGCCTACTCCAGCCATTTCCTTGAAGCCTATTAAATTTATTTCTCAGATTAATCTTTAGGACAGTGGTTCTCAAAAGATGTATTATTACCCAAAAATGGATCACAGGTGTGTCCTGAAAACCTTGAACAAAACTACAGAATGCAAGATTAAAATAAATACTCATTTCAGGTTTACTTGCGGTGAGGATAAACTGGGTTTGTGTTTAGAACCGGAAATGACTGAAATCCAACAAATGTCAGTTTACTCATTCAGTCAACATCATGTTAATAATTTTGCATATTGTTATATAATTCACAAAAAAAAAAAAAATCTGTCATTCTGAGTAGGATGTTCCAAACTTACATGATGTTTTTTCTTCTATGGAACATAAAAGGAGATCTTTTGAATGTCCAAAATAACAGTGAACCCTATTAACTATTTCAAATGTAAAAAGCCCTAAAATGTTTTTATTTTTTTCTCCACAGAAGAAAGAAATTGTGCCACGGAAGGAAGATGTTGTGCCACACAAACTTTAAAGTTTCAATTTAATGACTTTTTAAAAAAATAGGCTAAACTAATAACTTTGGTACTTTGTTGGGTCATTGCTTGATTTCTAATGAAGCAAAACCAGTTTGGACCCAACCAAATTTGGACTCAAATGTGTATTTAATGTATGTTAATGTGTACATTTGGTTACATTGGAAAGCCTGTGAATTTTGAAGTCCCGTCAAATTTCTATGGAAGGCTGATGCAAACGTTTTTGGCTGGAATCATTGCCTCTGCACTGGGCCTAGAGTGACTGAAGCAATCAGGCGCTGTGTAGGCTAACGCTGCTCATTAGCAGGATTAATTAAGAGTGCTTTTGAGGGTATTTGCCTCCGAGACCTAGGAGCCAACGAGGACTCCGGAATAAAGGGAACATCACAGATGAGTAAAGAGGTCATGGAGTTATGCCAGCCTGACAGTATACTGTGACTGAGTTCAAAGGATGACTGTACTGTTCATGCTAATCTTAAGTGACTCATGCGTCGCAGGCAGGTATACTGCGTGACTCTAATGTGTTCGGTTCTGGAAGAATTTATTAGAGCTGCCAGTCAGGGGAGCAGAGTTTCAGGTACAGTTTAATGTATTTCCGCTCCACAGATTATTGAAAATGGCAGTGCGCGTCTCAGGTGAAGTGTTAGAAAAAAAACAAAAAACCTCTTTCTTACTGAGGAACGTTGAACACTTTTAAAAAGTGCTTTCTGAATTCAGTATTCTCACTCAAAGCTGCACCACAAACTAAAGAAATTCTGTCATTATTTACTCACCTGCATTTCCAGGTATCAGTTCAAATCTGTATTCTGTTCATTGTTTCCATTAAATAAGGATAATTCTTCTGACAAACCTTCATGAAGGTACTTACTATTGAATTTTAATTTTTGGGTTAATTATTACTTAAGTAATGATTTCTAAAAGTAGTGAATTCTCATGCCTTTATACAGACACAACCAACTTGGAGAGTTACTATGGTATTTCATAAGCTACAAAGACAAGATAAAATCTCAAAGGAAACGCTGAACAAGATAACCCAAGAGGATGTACAATCCCTTTGAAGACTTTGAAAAGTTAAATTCCTTTTAGTTCCACTAGAGGGCAGAGCATAATGTTCATGACAAAAAAATGTGAATATGGAAGCATATGGAAGGGTGGACTGAGAAGTGAACAACCTCTAATCCAGTGAATACTGTAACTCACCTCTACGAACAGGAAGCATGGCACTATATATTTGCTCCTTTTAACTCCTCCCCTCCCCACAATCCTCCTGTCCATCTCTTCTGTCTTCAGTATATCAAGCAGACACCTAGAATAAACACAGGCATGAAACAGTAATTTCAATGAGATCATCTTACTTATTCAGTTACATTGTCCATGTGGACAACATTTTAGATTTAATGCATGCATATTATTATCTAGAGCACTGCAGTGATGATGTCATTTTGTAGGCCAACCCATAGGTTCACATCACCTGGTTCTCTTGACAAAAACACAAAAGGAGTTTTCCACTGGCGTTTAGATTATTGCAGAAAATAAGATCTGTGACAAACAAAAGTTTATTATTACTAGTAATCCAGTAGATTACTAGTAATCTAGTAAAGTAATCCACTATAGATATTTTAAGCTAAAACCACTACAAACCTATAGAAACACGGCACCTATAGTACTTAAAGACAATAACTAAGGGAAATAAAATCTATGATTGATCATTTTTCTTGATGCATCTACTCAAATACAAAATTTCTTGCTTTTGTATAAATACAGTATGGGGCCATGTTTACAATGAAAAATACAATCCCAGGTTTTGCCAACAGTACATTTGTGGAAAAACAGTCCCAGTGAGGCAAATGGCTTCATGAATGAACTAAACAATGAAAATATGAAAATGCAAACATTTGAGGGTTGGGTTCAGGGTAGTGGATAGAAAATAGTGTTACCATAGTACAAAAAGGAAAGAAGTCAATAAAAAGTCCACCATGACCTACAACTATGGTGCATTTGTGCAGGTTCCTCAGATACACGTCTCCTCGTGTTTCGATAAACCACTTGTTGAGCTTACAGTGTGGAAAACTACTTTGGTGTTACAACAACGGTTTTCAAACTGTGGGTCACAAAAACTGCATTTAAACATTTCTGACATAACATTTCTCAGACCTCAGTGTTTCCTGCACAGCTAGTCTGTGTGTTCACACACACGCTGCATGCAAAAAGAAAAAAACAAACTTACAGGACAATCTTTGTAGTCCAAATGACTCCTATGAACCAGTTCTTTTAATGAATCATTCAAAAAGATTGACTGAAATCCCTGAAACGGTCAGAGCTGCTACTCAATCAACCTATGACTCACTGTGAGTTCCGCATAAACACATTTCATTACACCAAATACACAAAATAATGTTCTTTTTAGCAGCATCATATGACCCCTTTAAGGCGTCGTTACTTCAGTACAGCCATTAGGCTGCTCTTACTTGCTGTGCCACTAGGAAACCAAAATTAGACTCTTTCTTTATCTCTATACCTCAATGTCACTTCTTTGTTCATGGTTATTCTGACTTTTATATTGGTTATGCAATGTTCATGATGTGACTACCCAGTGTGACAAAAACAAAAAAAAAATATGAACTTAAAATGAACAAAAGTATTTTCCCACCTTATATTTCAGCTTCACTTTTGGCGAGTCTCAAGATTGATTATAGCCCTCTAGGTAGGTCCTATCATGACAAAATGTCGTACTTCCTGTTTTCAAATACTGCAAAACTGGGGAAAAACCTATAACAAAAAGTATAAAGAAAAAGTGCACTGTCAGCTCACGAGTGGCATGCACTTTTTAAACTTTAGCTGAAATTCTAACAGATGCAAACAAGTTTCAAATGGTTTACACATAAATATTTTATCCTCTTAAAAATATGTGAAATTAGGGCCTAACATTAAAGAAAGGACATTTTTACTGAGAGAAAAACTAATCAGATTATTGTACTGTGTTAATGCATTACCTCGATACTGAAGGTTACTGGGTGTCCAGATGCATGTATTTGTAGCACAACAGCAAAATAAATTGACATATTATTGCAGCTATTCCATAAGTAATGTCACCATGGCATGAGATTATCCATAAAACTATTACACATTGACAATAATTTTTCCATCACCAGCTCTGTATCATCAAATTGAAATCCTGTCTAGCAGTGCAGCATCAAGAACATTATCAGCACAGCGGCTGCTCGTTTCATTTGCAGAAAAAGAAAACCAAATTCCCACTGTGCCGAACAGAAGATGAGTTATAGGACGAGGGACTGAAATTTGAGATTAGAATCTTAGTGCAGCACTTCAGAATTCTCTCGTTTGATGTGTAGGTCACAGACACACGCTCACATACTGTATATGTCACCCCCAACCAAGAATGCATTAGTAAAGAGACCAACAATAAGAATATAAGCTCTCTTCTGAGACTCTGCAATGATCAAGATCACTTTTATGTTTTCTTCACTATTGTTACATGAGGAGGGGGAGAGAGATGAATAAAGACAGATGAATAAAACATGAGGTTTAGCTTCTGTCTTTAGCGCTGTGTTCCTCAGGCCCAGCAGCAAACACAACACCACAAACATCTTGTAGCTGTCACCATCTACACAGAGCCATTAAAATTCATCATCTAAAAATGCTGAGGCTTGAGCTGAAAAAGCACAAAAGTGATTTTATGCACCAATTATGATGCAATAACTTAGGTCTGCAAGTCAACCGAGTTAAAATAGGGAACAAGATATTTGTGCTCCTTACTGGTGCTGTAAAGTTTTTAATGATTTTAAAAAGACAGTCTAGCAGAAAGCTTCCAGCTAACAACTCATTGTTACCAGATGCAGTACAAAACGTTCTCTGAACACACCTTTTGAGATTCTTCTTTGGTCAGGCAAGAGATTCTCAAATTTCTATGCTGGATCAGGCTGGTTTATGTTGGTTTGATAATGGTGTCCTCATAAATAACTCTTTCACTATTCTCTTTAATTATTTGACTATTTTCTCACATCTCTGTTCTAGTCTGCACTTCTCTAAACAACTTGGTACTCTGTACTGTGGTACTTGTAATCTTTAAGTCGCTTTGGATAAAAGAGCCTGCTAAATGAATAGATAAACATTAACGTTTGGCATCAGTGTTGTCAAATCTGGTACAACCCAAGGCAGGGGGAGATTATCAGTGAATAATACATTTTGTCCTGTTCTTCACACAAAACTATAATGACACTATAAGCATTTAACAAGGGTTTTAAAGGGAGTTCACCCAAAAATGAATATTCTATCATCATATGCTCAATCCTAAATGGCGATTCAAACCCGTAACTGATGTGTGCATTGATTAATGTTTATATGTGAATAAAAGCCTAAATTAAGTCTGCTCATCATACAAACCGAGCAAGTCTCTTCAGAAAATGGAGACTAAACTGTTAAATTCTTATGGTTTAGTTTTATGATCTCTTTTTGAACATTTTTTTTCTTTAAATTTTTTAACGCCATGTCAGCTTCTGTGGCTATGTTTATGGCGAGAGCAAGGTTTAGTTATTCAAAATTAAAACTAAATAAGATGTTCAAGATTTCTTTTTAAAAAACTCAAAATTTAATTTTAAAGGGGTCATCGGATGCTACATGCACTTTTACAAGTTGTTTGAACTGAAATGTGTGTTGGCAGTGTGTGTACACAACCACCCTATAATGATAAAAATCCATCCAGTGGTTTTTTTTAATCTACTAAAATGTTTACCCCTTTCTCAAATCGAGCCGATCTCAGATCTATGATATATCTATGGTGTAATGATCTATGAGATAATCTCACACGCCTCTCTGTGTGACGTCACAAAAACAGGCCCCTCTCACGATAGTTTGATTGACAGTAGCATTTCAGCACAGACTGGACTTGCGTCTTACGTTAGACCCGCCCTGAGTGAGCTGTCATCAGTCCACCATTGTTTCACCGCCGGAGCAGATGTAGACAAGAATGACTCCTAAGCGACTGAGGTGTTCTGTTGTTGGATGTAATAATGAATGAATAATAATAGTAGTATCAATTTACTCCCGACATCTGAGCTACTGAAGACGCAGTGGATTACGTTTGTTTCTGAAGGGAATGTGCGCCCCGATCTACATAAATGTGTTTTCCAAACTATGTTACAGACTTTTCATTAAGACCCTAAAGAATCATATCAACTTGTGGAAAATGGGCATCGGATGACCCCTTTAAAAAACTTGTGATAAATGTATTAACTTTTTGAAGTGTCAAATTGGTAGTTGCGTAGACTGTCAATGGACAGATTTAATTAAAAATATCTTCATTTGTGTTCCAAAAGATTTGGAACAACATGAGGGTGAGTAATTAATGACAGAATTTTGACTTTTGGTTGCACTATACCTTTAAGGACATTTAGAATTCAAAAACAATAACTTTTTTTAAATACCTTAAAAAATATGGTAGCAACAATTAATGTTTTACAAACTTAAATTTATAGTACAAAACCTTATATTTTGTTAACCGAAATAATGTTAAATGGTTACTCCACCCCAAAATGAAAATTTTGTCAATAATTACTCAGCCTCATGTCGTTCCAAACCTGTAAGACCTCCGTTCATCTTCGGAACACAAATTAAGATATTTTTGATGCATTCCGAGAGCTCTCTGACCCTTCCATAGACAGCAATGTAAGTAACACGATCAACGTCCAGAAACTTAGCAAGGAGATCGGTAAAATAATCCATATGACATTAGGGGTTCAACCGTAATTTTACGAAGCTACGAGAATACTTTTTGTATGCAAAGAAAATAAAAATAACCACTTTATTCAACAATTCGTCTCCTCCGTGGTCACCGTAGCGCCATTTTGGAGAGTATCCACTGAACGCAAACAGCGTATGCTATTCTGTGTGGGCCGTACCACACGGAGGTCTTACGGGTTTGGAACGACATGAGGGTGAGTAATTAATGACAAAATTTTCATTTTGGGGTGGAGTAACCCTTTAATATACTAAATATACCAAAAACACACCAATAATGTTTATATACCATAAAATACAGTCAACCCTTTAAAGTTCATTACAAGTAGCAAATACTTGCAAGTAGTAAATACAAATACACAGAAGGTGCATTGTCATGTCTCACAAATAATGCAATACATTAATTTAAACATTAGTTTATTAACTTAAGATGTAATACAAAACTCTAATGCAAATAACTTATAAGAAAAAAACTTATAAGTTAATAAAAAAGCTCAAATGTTAAGTGTCATACAGAGAATTCTGGGAATATAAATGCACCATTTTTCA